CAGGAGGTACTTCTGGTTGGGCCATGGGTTATCCAGGCCAAAGGTAGAATACTAGAAATAGAAGATGAGCGCTCCCTTCCTTGGCAGTAGATCATGGGAGAATATTCTAGGCTACGGCATAATTAACTAGAGTGAAGTTCTCATGAGGCTTAATAGCAGATTCAAATGAATGGGAAGAAAGGGCCACACCCAGGGCTGCATCTTCCTCCCAGGGTTTCCTGTGCATGCATTAATTGGACTTCACCCAGATGCTAAGCTTATAAACTTCAAAGAACTGGGCAAACATTTGTTGATTTCCTGAACATGTTGGAGGAGGTATTCTTGTTACCTTGTTCTCCAGAATGTGGTTATTTTACAAGTGGAGTGTGCCACAGGCCTAAGTCAAGTTTTCTCAACAGATTTTCTTTCATGCATGAACTTTCAATTGTTCTCAGCACCCAAGGTGGAGATACATACAGAGCAAAGGTGGGAGACAGGGGAAGGAGGAGGACCAGGGCAGAAAGTGCATTGCTGCAGGCTTTTCAAAGTCCAGGGGTTCCTGACAATATTGCTCCCTCCTCCTCTGAGGTTAGCATGTTTAATTATTAAACACAGAAGCTTCATCAACATTGGACTCCTTGGAGACAACCAGCAATTATCTCAAATTCTGTTCCCACTGCCATCCATCCCCAACTTCAAAGAGAACTCATTACCAGGCCCCAAATTCTTCAAATTACTTTCCCATCATCTCAGATGATGTTTGTAAGTAGTTTATAATGAGAGTCTAATCTCACCCTTCAGATTACTAAAGCAGCTCACAGAAGATGGACTGTGATAAAATTATTCCAAGTTAGGGTGATTATCTTTGGATCATTCTTCCCAACAAGATTTTATTCTCTGCTTTGTTAAAATTTTAGAAGATATTTTATGTACATATATTTACAAGAATAATTTATACAGACTTCTCCCTGGCTCTTATTTGCAAATTAACATCTAAATGAGACATCTCAGAATGAGCTATTTTATGTCTTGCAGATGAATAATTAAAAATGTATATTAAACTGGAATGAGCTTGTCTTTTAGGTTGCCAGTAAAATATAGTTGCCTTTTGCTTTCTAGAAGATTGTATTTCATATAAGGGAGATCAAGACATCTCAGAGCCCTCAAGCCTTTATTAATAGTCAGATGGCTCTGTTCATTAATTTGAGCAGTGTCAAGGTTGCCTTTGACATTGACAACAACAACAAAAGAAAGAGGGAGAAAGGAAAGAAACAGAAGAGGCAGGCATTATAGAAATGAGTACACAGTTGTCAGGTCTCATATCTGTCATACAAGATGTTTTTTCCATCACTATTTACATTATTACTTTATGAAAATTTAAGTAGTAAGCCAGATGGAGGGGATGGTAAGAATTTTCTGGAAATCATCTCTATATTAATTTAAAAATTCCCATATATCATCAGGCTGTCCCTGCTCTCCCAAAGTCTTTATTATCCACTTTTCCCCTTTGCCGCCTATACTTCAGGCCACTGTCCCTGTATGGCAGTGAGGTGTGTGTTGTCTGCCCTTCGCTGTGTTCTTTGAGGTTGCAAAGTGAGAAGAGGCTAGGGTTTAAGTGTGTGTGTGTGTGTGTGTGTGTGTGTGTGTGTGTACAAGACTCGGCCTTTAAGCATTTCAAGTTTTACAGGGACAGACAGTTACTGAGTAACAATTGCAATTCCAATATAGAGTGATAGGGATCATGAGGACAGGCCAAGTTTGCAATAGCTGCACGAACAAGAGGAATCCAGCACAACCCAACTAAGCAGCATCCAGGCATGTCAAAAAGATGGGCAAGTAAGTATACTGAAAGGTGGAGCACTGGATAGAAACTAGAGCTCAACTTTATGTAGTCTGACAACAAGAAAGGCTTGGCTCATGACCTGATTTCTTTTGGCCTTAGATCTTTCTTGTTCCATTTTTTGCTCTTAATTCTATGCGAAGTCAGAAAAATCACTTAGAGGACTAAGTCAAGAGAATTATATTTCTCTTATCTGTGAAATAACTGAGTTTTAAAATAAATATTTAAAAGATGTTATACCTGTAACATTCTTGTGCATTTCTGCATATATCTCCTTATGTGTAGGATAGGGCACTATAAAACTGGAAAGTCTGCCATGTGATCGTGTTAATTCTTTAAAAAATATTTTATTGTTTGTACTTTTTATGTTTATGAGTATATTGCCTGCATGTATGTGAGTGCACCCATGTCGTGCAACTCCTCTGCCGCCGAAGTCATTTTTAACTCTGAACTAGACTAGAGACCAAATCACTGAATAGAGATAAGACTTAATAGATTGGTTTCCCAGGTAAACATTGAGAGACTTGCAAAAGGGAGAGAGAGCCATATAGATAGAAGAGATACAAGGCACACCGAGACCTCTCTTCATTTCTTCCTATCCTCGAAGTGTCGTCAGAGATAGCCTGCAGAGTCCTGGCAGCCTAATTAAAAGGAGGTGCATCATACACAGATAAGCGATGCCCAGACAGATGGAAAGGAACAGGAAGTAGAAGGAAAGAAAAAAAATGTCAAATAAACCATCTGTAAAATAAGTGACACTTTATGTCTCTAATACTGAAGTTTTTGTTTTAATTGAGCTAATCCTACTGTGATTCCTGCTTTCTAGGGACCTCCATTCTAAGTAGAGACCTGTAGCTGCCACCACCATGGCAAGAAGCAAGAGTATTCGCCTCATCTCTAACGCTGTATATGGAGGAAAACCAAGCAGAGCATAGGAGGTGTTTTCTTCCACTTTCTGCTGAGCACTTTACTTGACACAAACACAGTGACATATCCTCTTCCTCCTGGAGGGATCCATTTTGTTTGCAACCTATTGGTTTTGTGAGCTGCCAGACCTGTTGCAGCCTGTAAGCTTTTAGTCATCTAACTTTATCAGTAGCAGTTCCTTAGTCACTCCTGACAGTTGAAAAGATCTGCTTCAGTTCCCAACAGGAACAGATCATCAGAGGAAATATTACTCTACTTCTTTAATGTCTATATAGTAACTCGGCCAATGGTGATAAAATGTCTATAGAAGGTCTGTAAGGACTTGGAATCAAAAGCATTAATGGATGTTTGCATGTAGGAGATTGGAAGAAGAATCTACTGCATGTCTGAATTTTATATAGAGAAGTATTTGATTGCAATGAGCAAATGAACATGCTATTCTGAAAAGTGAGGAAAAGCTGCTATGTGGTTGTCTACTGGCTATTCCTGTATGAAATCTGAAAATCTCTCCTATCCAATCTTTAACGCATCCCTGTTATCTTTATTAGGCCCTTTCGGGGATCTTCAGGTTCTGCCAGCCTTCACCATTTTCTCAGTGTAGAAAATGAGACCGGATCCTTTTTCCCTTTTTCCCAATAGTCCAGTCCTGCCTTTTGTTCTGTTCCACCCCATAAGGTTTGTGGAGTGGGTCTCGTTCTTACCTATTTTTTGTAAAGACAAATATCTGATCATGTCGTTTATTGGTTTTAAAACACATCGTAAATGTAGGAAAGTTAGAAATGCTCTGAAATGTAGTTATTGGGTCATAGGCCCCAAATATGCTGCTTTTTAAGCTCTTCATAGGCACTCTTTGCTCCCAACAGTGACTTTGTGGCCCCCAGGGTAAGGTTTCCATTGAGTTTCCATCTCCTGTCCCCAGATAGCTTAGCTTGCCCAGCTCCTCTGCTTCCCTCTGCAGGGCCCCTAGCACATAGGCACACAGACACAGCAGGCATAGTATGACCAATGTCTGCCAAAGCTGGTAGAGTGGTTGTTTGCTTGTGTTGAGTGCAGATACGGATCCCAGTGGTGAAGGACTGATTGAAATAGTAAGTGTAACATTTGGCTATGGTGTTGTCTCTCCTAGGGACCTAAATGCATGGCCACATGGTCTGGGAATGGAGGAGCCATCAAATTCTGTATGTAGATTCTTCTAGACATATCTTGGACTACCTGTGCTTTGTTGCTCAGTCTATTCCTGGTGTTTTCCCTTATAAGGAGCTCCTTCCCAGAGGCTCCTCAGTCTTCCCGGAGAATGACCAGACTGCAACATCTCATCTCTGGTAGGGGGTAAAATGTGGGCTTGTTCCCAGGAAGGTGCTCCCAAGGCAAAGACACTGGCATCAAGCTCCAGCTGCTAGTTCAGACCCAAGGAGAGCTGAGCTTTGAATGAGCCCTGATGGCAGAAAGCCAGGCTGAAGGTAATATCTCAGCATAGCCATATTCTCTATTTCCTGGTTTTGAAACAGCAATTAGAAGATCTGCCTGCTGGCCCTCTGCCCTCCATTTGATTTCTGAGCATAGGGCTCACCAAACTCTTCAAGAGAGATAGTATGATTTTTTATGAAGTCTTGACTCTCCATGACTCCATGGAGGCCTCCAGTGGGAAGCATGCACCTAATGTCAAGCACCCTTGAATGGTTCCTGAAGGTTGTCTTCAGCCCTTGCTCCATCACAGGCATGACGCCATGTGGGCATTACCCTAAAACCTTCGCAACAAGGATCTGTCAATTTCTAAGTCTCTTTACACAACTTCAGAATTTAGTGGGGTCTAAGTGAATGAGATGGTCCTGATTTTTGGATTTTCACATTGAGGTGGTATATGGTAAATCTTAATGTGAGCATTAGTCAGAATAGAGAAGATTTCAATTTTGTGAGTATCAATGTATAATAATATAAACTGTATTAGTATCTTGAAAATATTTTAGAGAAACTTTCTTCTGTGCAGAAAAAATGAAAACCAAGTTCCAGATGTCATAAATGTGTTAGACAAAGAAAAGAACCAAATTCGCAATAAGTAAAACATTTACTTTGTCAGCTTAAATATGTATCAGATTTCAACCAGAGGTACCAGTCAGTGATCCCTGAAACTCCTTACTTTGCAATGTGTCTCTCCTACTTATTGCCACAGTCTTGCCTAGCTCTTCTCCTTCAAATCTCATCTGCCCTCTCTCATAACCCACCTCATCTTGATTTCATTTTTCTGTATCTTCAGATGCCTCAGAGATCCAGTGAGGAAGCCTACACTGGTAGCACTTGATGTTATTAACAGCAGGTTCCATACAGTGAACAGTCAATTTAAAGCAAGCTTCGAGTCTTGCCTGAAGAGAGTTGATCTATGAGTTGATCAGTGTTTGGTAAGTTGTCAGAGATCTTCATGCAAAGTGCAAGATCTGAGTGCACTGGACTAGTGCTGCTGTGCCTTATTTGTCTTTGTAAAGTGCCTGGTACCATGACAATATTCACTATGTAAATAATAAGCGGAACGAAACACACTTCCTTCTCCATTTTAATAATGTACTATTCATACTTCTTTTTTTTTTTTTTTCTGGAACAAAGAATCATTGTAGGAAGTTGCTCTGCCAGTGTTAGGCTGATATCTTATTGCAGGCCGAGTAAAGAGATAAAATGGCAAAGTACGGGAAAACTGATAAAATTTCCTTTCAAAACAAAGGAGAACAAGGTAGTAACACAAAATACGAAAAGCCAAGAAATGGTTTGCTGCCATTAACACAAATGTGAATGTATATTCCCAGTACTTTCCCTGATTATAAAATACTGAGATGCCCAGAGGAAATTTACAGTGACAGCTTCCTGAGTGATTCTCTGTTGTTTTTGTAAATCTATTGTTCTCCTCTGCTATGATCCCATCCTTAAGAAAGGCTGACAGAGATGTTTTGTTTAACAGAGAGCGAAACCGTTGCCAACCATTTCCAGAGGGAATTGAGCTACCAAATATTTTTCTCAAATTATAGAAAATTGCCATTTGTAGAGTCCACACTGTATTTAACTTCTTAATTTAGGATTAGACATCTGTAACTTATTGTTAGGACATCTGGAGAGCTTGCAAAACTCTGTAATATGACTATTATCTTTCTTTCGTCCTATAGCATCTCTGAAGAACATTGTGTTGGTCTTATCTCTGAAGATTTGCTGATGGTCAAAACAACCACTGTAATTTTCCATTTGAAAACCTGAGGTCTTCTCCAGTGCAGTGTTGACATGTTTTCACCCAAATCTGCCAGTGCTTGACCAGGAACCCTGTTGGTGGTTACCCTTCAGGCCACCACACACATCCCAACTGGGATGCCACAGAGCAGAGGAAGATCAACTTCCTCTCTCACTCCTCTGGCTTAGCTGAAGACCAAAACATTAGTAATACAAGACCTGGAAGCCATGACATCCCCCGCCCCCACCATGCCATTAGCACTCAGGAGCATGGGATGGCTTGGTCTTAAAGTATCAAAGAACAGATATAGGGGTCTTTGAATGACTAATATAGCTGAGGAGTTTAATCATCAAGAGAAACATAAAGGAACTAGAATCCTCTATTTACAATCTGCTGAGCTTACTTTCAGTTCTGTTTCTTCAAATTAGGTCAAATGAGGCTTTCAAGAGAAGACAGCCTTGAAGCTGAGCCTTGACGGATGACAAAGGTGATGTTGGGCTAAAGCTCAAGAGAAAGCATTCTTGCTAAGAGAGAGGTGTGGGCAAAACAAAAAGATGAAGGAATCCACGGAGTTCTTAAATATTGCTTCCAGTTCCTGTGCCTCTGAAGCACAGATGAAGTTAGAAAAATCTCTGGAAAATCCTACTGACAAATTGTTGGCATTGATGTAGTTCTCCCTGAAAAGCCTTCTCGGATGACTGAATGCTGTCTGTCTATGCTTCTAGAGCACCCTTCTCCATCCCCGCATAGCTCTTAGTGCAGACAACGTTGTCATGCTCATGCTCTTATGTGATACATTTCATTGTTCTAAGCTCCTTACAGAAAAGAGTTTTGTCTTCTTCATGTTCTGGCTAGTATTTGATAGATTCTCAGTGTATCTTTCTCGAATTGCATAACACTACACGTTCTTTCCTTAAAAAATGACTTCAAATATTTTGATTATTTTCAAAGCCTTCACAAGAGCCTAGATAACTGTTCTAAAGGCATAAAACAAAGGACTAATAAGTGTCCTTTTAAACTACTAAAAACAAAGCATACACTTGATTATTATAGAAGGAACAGAATAAAATACCAAATGAATTTATTACATTTTGGAGCCACCCAAAGGGTGTTAACTACCAAATTGCTAAAAGTACCTCTTTATGGAGGAGCTCTGTCTACTAGGTGACTTGCCAGCATAAGGGATTTTTGAATGGTAATATAAGCATAGGAAGAATCCTTGTATTCTGCCAGGCAAAGGCTATATTGGAAGGAACTCTGAACTTGGAGTCAAAGGGCATGGCACCTCACTCTAGAAATTGCTGTGTGTCCCTGGGGAAGTCTTTAATCTCAAGTTCATATATGCACCTTCAAAACCATCATCGTCAACTACAAAGAGACCTTCTTATCAGAGGGTGCAATAATTAAGGCGTTCTCCTGAGTCCTTCATTGCATTTTTGTTCTCTGGTTGAATGACAGGTTTGAGATCTTAGGACTCTTCATTTAATGCTAAATCTATTGATCATGTCCCACTGCTGCTTTCTAATCTGACAAGGGAAAAATTCAGATCATGGGTAGAGGAATGAAAGGTTGTAAAAGTGTGTCCTTGGCAGGATACTTTTTATTCTCTGGCGTCTAATGCTGCTTCACAGAGTTAACCTCTGTGTGTGCAGTTTTGTGTGCAGCTTACTGGTAGTTGCATGTAAATATCCAGCAGCAAATTTTGGCTGGGGTTCCGTCAGGTGTTGGTGGACAGATGAACTTTGTTCCGCAGCACATTTCTGTGTTCTCTGTTCCGTTCTAGGCTGTCAGAACTGGGCTTTGGTCAACACAGTGAAAGACCTGGTCAGTTTTCCTTCAGTGTCATTCAGTCTTGGTTAGAGGAGGAAGGGCATGTTCACCAACTCTACTTCCACTCTCAGGGTTCTGACGAAATGTAAACCTGATAGGGATTTGTCACTCCCTTGGTGGCCTTTAGTCTTGGTTCATGACAGGTTTATTATCTTTGATCTACAAAACCCAGAGAGCAGAGGATGGTGTTTGATTTCATATACCAGGTACAATTGACTTTAATTATCTTTTTGAAATTGGTCCTGCACTCAGGGATGAAGGACTGCTATCCCAAATCACCCTGTGTCTTGGACAGTCTCTGAAAACACAATGTCTGTATACAACTTGGTTATGCAGTATTGTCAGGAAAATGTCATATTTTGCTGAGTTGTGGTTTTCTGATATACAGCATTTTAAACTAGTTCTTTTTGTGTGTGTGGCAGATTTATGCTTCTGACAGGGAAATAGCTGTAAGATGTGAAATGAATAACCAGTCAGGGCTGGAACACATGCCTTAGCATTTGCTCTGCTGAAACTGGTCATATGAAAATCCTCTTCTTTGCATAATGTTCTATGGATGGGAAAGTTGGAAGAACAATGTCACGTGTGATTCAGTCACAGCACATTTAAGAGTTTTGAGAGCCAAAATGTTTTTCAAAATTTCAAGTATTTCTCCCTAAGGTTTGGCTATGTTGCTAGGGTCTTGTCTAGCACATTATTCAGTTTAAATAATAACCAGACAATTGTGGAATTAGAACTTGATAAAAACAAAGAACTGTAGAGCCACACAATCATGCCTTTGCTCAAGTCCACAGGAATGCATGCATACATCCATTTATCCATCACACTTAGTACATGAAAGGCACAGTGGTCAGCTGGGGAGACTGAGCTTAAAAGCCTCATGAAACACAATACTTTTTAATTTTGTCTACTCCCTTGAGAATCTATGACAACATGGATTGTCTCCTTAAAAACATAAATATCATTCTGTGTGAGGCATTCATGAACCACCAATGAATCTAGGATTAAGAATTCCTATGTGAAGGGCTGGAGAGATGGCTCAGTGGTTAAGAGCACTAGCTGCTCTTACAGAGGACCTGGGTTAGATTCCCAGCATCCATATGGTGACTAACAGCCATCTGCAGCTCCAGTTCCAGGGTAATCTGACACTCTCTTCTGACCTCTGTGGACATTGGATGACACAAATGTACTCATATACATGCAGGCAATACACTCATACACAAAAATAAAAATAATAAATATTAAAAAATAAAGAATACATATGTAGATGAGGGAAAACAGATAGGTGGATGTACAGTCATGGTGGGGTAGTATGCTCTCTTTCTCTCTGAGACACAGAGTGCTATGAGCTCCCAGGGGAGGATGTGCCCCACTTTCCACACAGGGGAGGACCTGACTTTTTCACCAATAGTCTTACATGAGCTTTGACTGTTGTTTCTCTAAAATGGCGATGATTGCTTCCTGTCTTGTCAGAGTTTTTATGGTGGGGTTAGGGGAGGACAGCAAAATGAATTATCTTGTAAAGAAGAATACTAGATTTGGGATTAGAAGTTTAGGATTTAGTAGTTTCTGGTTCACTACTTTTTTAGTTGTGTAAAATGGACACATTACCAAATCTTTCTAGGCTCCATATTTTTATTTGTAAAATTAAAATAGTGATATTTGAACTCTGGAGGTGTAGTTCTGTGCAGATTGAGCATGAGGAAAGGAAGGTCCATTCCTAACACTGCAGAAGGACAGGGAGGAGGAGGAAAAGGGGGGGAGGGATGATATCTGTTACATCACCTTATGGCCAGGGAGGGGGCTTTATATTGAGAGGGAATAGGAGCAATACTGTAAAACAGTAAGACTTTTCATAAGCCATAATGTTACAGAAATATAATGCATTGTCAAGTAATGACACTCCCACAGATAATGTAGAAACGGACAAAATGTTATTAAAAAGAAGGCCTCCAGTTTTGTCCAGGGTATCATGTGGCTCCTGGGGGTGGGTAGAACTTACAGACTTCATGGCACCAAAAACCGTGATCTCAGTTTTGGAGATGAATCCAGTGTAGTTTCAGAAATGCTCAATGTATTGGCAAGAACCAAATTCATAAACTCAGAGATAATGATAAATAAGAAATTATAAACCAGCAGTTTGATTATTGAACACGGATTTATTTGCTTTGCTCTGGTGTGAGGTTAAAAAACCCCCAGGAGACTGTTTTGCCAACACACTCACCAGTCCCTAAACCACCCGTTCTCTTTTCTTGTTTTCTTACACTCCAATTAAGAAGTGATCTGAAACCTCTCTGGCAGCCCTGCAGAGAACGGGGTGATAGGTGTGGGGACAAGAGTTCCAGTGTTGGGAACTAAGCACTGGGCTTGAATCTTGACTCCCCACTCAACACAAGTGGCTCTGAGACAGTGGGCTACCTACTCAATCAATGCCTGAATTCTTCATCGAGAGGACAGGCTAGCTCTAAGCAAAGTTCTTGTAAACTCGAGTCAGCCATATAAGATACTGTTTTTAATCACCATGTTTCTAAATGCATGTGTTGGTTAATGAAATGAGCAAAAGGGGGGAAAGATGCCATACTGCATTTCTACAGATTGCCTGCCTAGTTTGCTTCGCAGTTAAGCACATGTCAGTATGCTTGGCTGTCTAGTAATGACTGGGAAGGTATGCCAAGAAGTTGCTGATCAAAATAGGCCCAGGAGCTCTGCTCTGGCTACGTAAGGGAAAGCAATCTTCAAGGTGATTCTTCACATTTTATACTTATCCAAAGGAACTTTTTCCAAAATAAGGCTTTACTTTTCAAGAAGCTATCGGATGTGGTCTATCTTCTCCATGAAGGAATAGTCATATGCTCTCTCTCAATTTTTCCTTGCCCTCCCACTTCTTTCCCTTCTCCTCCTTCCTAGCCACATGTTCACTGTGTATTTTCTGTTTAGAAATGGCAGCTCTTTATGCAGATGGATCCCAGTGGGCCGAAAGAACCATTGCATCTGAAGGAACCAGAAGAGAACCAGGCAGCCTCTCCTTTCCAACCCATGTGTTTGCAGTGTGGCCAGACTGGCTAATGAAGCCATTTTGCTCCAGTTATGACACTTAGTAATAGACAAGGCAGAAACTGCCAGCTTTGATTCAGACATTGGGATATAAAAAGATGCCCAGCAGGAGCCATCAAGGCTGCTCACTGTCTTTTAACCAGCTTCTGGAATTCTCTTGTTCCAAGCCGAGCACTCCCAGCTCCCAGGCAGGCTAGGTAAGTTAGGTAAACTAGAAAGTGAACCTTTGAAATGGGTTTTTCATTCAACAAAGAATGATCAAACATGTACGGAATACCATTACTGCTGTGCTGAATCCCAAAGGAAAACCCAGACAAAAAAGACAGTTAGTTCCTACTTTTATTAAGTTAATAGTCTAGTAGAAAAGACAAAAATACACAAAAATATAATATGTAATAAATACTATTTTACAGGAGGAAGTAGAGAGTTCTCTGATGCTCAGGAGAGTGTTAAGGAGAAAGTTTTGATCAGTGTTGTACAGTATGCCTCAGCTCCTACACTGCAGGGGAGAAGATGGCATTCCAGGCATAGTCATTGGCAAAAGAAAGGCAGGGGAGCATGTGCGGTCA